TGCAGGAAGAAAACCAAAAACTGAAACAAGAACTGCCCAAAAAGAAATTAGACAAGGACTTCCTGAAAGACAACAACTCTAAAGTGAAGTTCTACACAGGGCTGCCATATTTTGCTTAACTAATGTGGGTGCTACAACAAATTAGCCCCAGTTTACCAGATACTGACAGAAGAATTTCTCATGTTTAGATGCTCTTGTTGACTCTCATACGTTTAAGACTAAACCTACCTAAAAGAAAAAAAAAAAGAAAAAAAAGACTAAACCTACCACTTGAACATGTTGCAAACCTCTTTGATATTAGCTGGACAACCACATCCACTGTGTTTAACATTACTGTGAATGTACTGCCCACCTCAGCCCATTGGTGCACTGGCCTGGAAGACATTGCAACAGGCCAGTACGCCACACCAGTTTGTTGAGATGTTTGGTGACCATGTGACAGTTATTATTGACTGTTTTGAACTTTTCATAGAGAGAGCACAAAATGTACGCGCTAAGACAGAGACATACTCCACATACAAAAGTAGGCACACGATGACATATCTCACAGGCATCACACCACAAGGGAACAACTCTTTCATTTCTAAAGGATGGGGAGGGTGTACCAGTAATAAACGTATAGCTAAAACATCTGGCTTTCTACAGAAGCTTTCACCTGGGGACATAGTGCTTGCAGACCGGGGTTTTGATATTAAGGAAAGTGTTGCCTTAATGGGTTCCATTTAAAAAATCCCAGCGTTTACCCAGGGTCGTAGTCAGCTACAAGCAAAAGATGTGGAAGAGACACGAAAACTTGCACATGTCAGGATCCATGTAGAACGAGTTATAGGTTGTCTACGTTCAAAGTACTCCATACTGAATGACACCATAAGTCTAGGTTTAGTGGTGCTGTGTGAAGGTGAAAAAATGACTTTGCTAGATAAGATAGTCGCTGTTTCATGTGCGCTCACAAATATGTGCCCAAGGGTTGTATTGAAGAAATCAAGTGATGAATAACTGTTTTCCAATATGTTGTTTTGAAATGTTTTTTTTAATTTTTTGCATTGTTGATTTGTTTTTCACCGAAGCAGCTAATAAAGCATGATGGAATGCAATTTAGCCTCTTTGTTGTAAGATTCTATAATAAAATGAAACAATAATGCCAGTTATAAATAAAGACAATAAATGGAATGAATTATGAAACACTTATTTCATTTCTATTGAATCTGAAAATGTTGTGTAACACTACAACCTGAAAAGACGAATAGATTGTGTTGGCCTGTACAGGAGAAAACATTTTAACGACAGCTGTAAAATGAAATAGTCCAAATCAGAAAATAGATACAGCAAAGTAAACTGGTCCTGGGCTTGTTGCAGGGATCTGAAGTTACTAAACACTCACACTTAGGACCATATAATTATAAATACGAGCGTGATGAAAGTCGGGCAGCACACTAACATCTTTGGCCCACTCTGTATGCTCGTATGCGTCTGACCCTTTCACTCCTTTGATTTTTTTTTCCTCGT